GACTGCAGTGCATTTTCTGTAGCAGGGGGCACAGGCCCATGGTGGTACCTGTGCCAACGAAGCTATCCACCATGGGGGAAGCGGAGACTGATCATCTCCGTGTACCTGCAGCATGTTTGTGACATACTCAACTGAGCAAGCCGTACATTGATGCATCTTGAGGAAATCGTTACTGTAGTCCGTCTTTGTCGTGTCTGGTCCGGTCTGTCTTCCCTTGCATCAGTTCGAGTCAAGCCAAAATGTGTGTGTGTGTGTTCCATGAAGAACACAACCCACAGCAACAAAGTGGCCTGATAGGCCATGAAAAGCTGGATGCCGTCCCACATGCAAAATTGTCGACAGCATGTCTCAATGTGGCGGCTGAAAACTGTGCTGGTGCCTAGTCTAGCTTTCCTCCCAGTCCCTCCTCCCCAGATTCGTCTTGCCCCGAGGGCCATGTTTCCACTCAGGTGTTTTTTCGTGGAGAGATTTCAGCCCAGCCGCATCAGGCATTTCTTACAAACTTTTTGCCGCATTTCTTGCAAATTTGTTGCCGATCCTACACGGAAGTGCAGGAAGATGAGAAAGCTAGGAAGATACAGGAGCCACAGTTCATGACAATTGGATGTGATTCTCATCTGACCGAAGTCCCTTTTTTGTACTCCTGTTCTTTGCAACATGGCGTGATACTTGTAAGGATTGGCTAGATCATGGCGTGCGTCTGCCGAGATGCAGCTGCCGTTCCGGTCAGGCCCTGCTTGGCAAGGGAATCATTATGAATTCTGTTTGCGATCGTGGCTACAGCGGAGGTTGGAGGGTTTATCTGGCAGCCGAATGCTAGTCGTTTTTCTGGCAGCGGTCTCAGAGCCTGTCATATCCTGTTATGCAGAACGTTTGCATGCGCGGTCATCAACCGGCTCCATGCACTCGATGCAAGATGTCGCAAGGTCGATGCGTGGACGAAAATCCTTGTGCTCCGGGATACGCAGGAGGTCGCATGATCGCTTTTCATGCACCACACGGAAAGCCTTCCGGTTCCGCCCAAGCCGGAGGCACAGTTTTTGGATTTCGGCTGGTGCACTAGCCAGCACGCATCCCCTTGCTGCTGTCTTCGTGGACGTGTGGTGCGGATCCGAAACTTGATTGCAAAGGTGCGAATGCTTGGCAAGTGCGAGCGCGTCGTGTGCCCACCCCATGCCGACATCGATGAGCCCGGGGCTCTTGCTCTTGGTGTAGCAACATCAACGCCGGAGCGTGTGCTTCTAAGGTCCGGTTTGTGCCACTGTCAGCTTCGAACTCAGCCCTGCCGCACACCAACAGCCTTTTAGAGTGATGCTTGAGAAGGATGCGACGGCCCAAGCGAACACCGAAGCACACCTTGCAATTGATGGTCGTATTGACGTCGCAGTGCTACTGCATGTGTAAAATCCGCAAAGGCCACCCTACAATGGAAGCCAGATCACCTGGAATGCAGAGCTGCTGATGTACTCCGGGGAGCAGCTCTGCTGCACCTGGTGTTGCAGTGCAGCCCAAAACTTCAGAACCCGCCTCGTCGTACGTTCGCTCGGCCGGGCAGGTGCTCACCCTACTTTCATTGTCCTCCTCGCACTGCAGGGCCCTCTGTTGGACTTTTTGCGGGTCCTACGAAATTACGAAACCCCACAGCCTAGGTCTATCGCAAGGTGGATCTGAGTGTCGTGAACAGACGGCTTGCATGCGTCTGCCGCGATGGCTACGTTGGACTCTGAAAGCGCAAGCAGAGCAGGACTTGGCTCATCCTAGGTCCTAGAACTTTCTGGGCCCAACCAGGCCGGCGGTCATATGTCTTGGGATGCGTGGGGACATCGCGTTTGGCATGGCCCCCTCCTCGGTATTGGCTTGGTCGCAAGCAGGCCGGAGGGCCGGGGAGTGTTCTGAGCTTGAGGCGATTGCCAACTGGTTGCTTGTCCATTGGGTGCGCAAAGACACGGGGATGGTCTGTGTCACTGCCTGCAACCTGGCAGCGCCGTTCTATCCCGATGTTGACTGTCTTGGAGCTACAGGTCGCAATGGTTCATTGACATGGGACGCAATACGAGGAAACTACGAAGGCCCACGAGCCGCTCGCATGTCGCATGTGCTGCGCTTTGTCGCCATTTTTTTCCGCAGGCCTCTGTGCGCAGGGGCACAGGCAGAAGCATGAGCCGTGGAGGCCCCAGCGACCGACCCGGTTGATACGGCACCGGGGAGCCGGCAAGGACGGCCAAGCCCAGACTGAGACGGCAAAGACGAATCGCGAGCGCCAGCAACCGTCAGCAATTCCAAGGCAGAACGCCAATCATCATTCAAGCAATGACACACGCGAGTCAGCAGCGGCACACCCAGCTGCAAAGCATGGGACGTCAGATGTGACGTCCGACTCTGAGAAGGCCCACTTGACAAAGAGCTCGATTTAAAAAGCGATGTTCCGCGTGGGTTTTTGCTGAGAGGATACTCCTGTGAAGCCGAGCTCACGCGCCTTGAAGTTCGCTCATAAGGCCATTGATTGGTTGGAACTGTCAACGGACACCTGTCATCTCGTGTTTTTGAGCTGTGAACTGGGAGGTCCCCACAGAGGGAGCAGCAGTCTTCTTTCACGCCTTCTGGCACCCAATCAGAACCTTTGCCGAGCCTATTCTGCGGTTCATCTGAATGTGGCCTCCTCATTGTATGTGTCACGCACTTCCAAGACAATTCAAACATGACATGCCGTGCCGGGGCAAGTTGGTCGCAGAGCCAAGGCCGTGAGTGGTTGCAGCATCATGGTGAGCCAATTAGCCGAAGCTTCCATGCTTTCTGTTGAGCTAAACTGCCTAATCGTGGTTTCATCATTACGTGACCTTCCTACTGCCTGCTGTCCAGCTGTCGTCGCGAGGTGTTTGCCTGGCATTGTAAGCCCGGCTAATGCAGAATAGTTCGATCATAGTGACGTGCGTGCAAGCGTTGTCGAATCGAAAGCTGCGTCGGGCCAGCCACAAGGAGCGGCCCCAGTTGCTTCATATCGAGATCTGTCCCGCCAAAGGTGCTGCAAAGCAGCTGCGGGCGTAGACCATCCGGATGCCGCCTATACGGCTTCGAGCCAGTCATGGATCAACCTGACTGAAGGGGTGGGTTCGCTGCAAGAGTTTGCCGCATGTGTGCTCGCCTTGATGAAGTTCACGGAGTCGGTGCGTGGAGTGGACTTTCCGCACATCGGTCCTGTTTGGCTGATAGATCTGATAGAGGGTGTGTGTTATGTGGCATTGCAAAGCAGTAGCCAACATACCCTGGGCCCTCAGCAGCAACTCGTGTGAGGTCGCGAGGCATTGCCAGAGTCCTGTGCGTTTTTTTGCAAATGGCTCCTCCGTGGGCATCATGGCATGGCTCGGCGGTCGCAGCAGTTTCTATGTGGACTGCGACGCCTTTAACACTTCGGCTACTGCGCCGAGACGCGGTACCGAAATGTTTCTGGAAGAGGAAGGGCTTGGGACTCGGAATTTGCGTTGAGTTGCAAAGGCATGCACGTCTACATGGTTTCGGCAGTGGTAAGGCAGAGGATCCGACTGAGGTTGCTGTCCTATGCTGAGATCTTGTTGGCAAGAGTGCTTAGTCTATGTCTGTGTCCAGTTCACCCAGAGACCTTTGCCGAGGCGCGAGCTTGATAACTCTCCTGACAAGGCTGGAGTGTCTGCTGATCCAACAGCTTCGGTTGCCTATTCAAAGTTGCTTGACCGTGAACCCAACCAAGATTCTTACAGCCAGGTCGGCGCAGGAGAGCCATATCAGTTCGGCACACAGTACTTTGCGATGGCAAGCACTTAAAGTATACAAGCGCAGCAACGGGCTTTGCTGGAGCGCAGCATGATGGTGCGCAGTTTTCCCAGTTTTCGTAGAGTGAGAGCAGGGTGAACATAGTTTTCGAGTATTTTGTCACCTATGTGCTGGCAGACGTCGCAAAGTTTCAGTTTGCCGAGGTGGCTGCGAATGGTGGATATTGATCATGCCGCAAGATGGTGCGAAAGCGTACAGTATGGCATCTGCTTCAGAGAACGATGTGGCTTGCCTCAAGGTGCGCCAATGATCCGCAGTGTACCGGTGTGTGCTACAGCTCGGAGACGGGCTGGGCTCGTCGCATCCCCAGCAAGACTCTTGTCGATCTTGTTATTACATGTTTGCCTGTTCACAGAAGCTTTGAATGCTCTCTTCGTGGTTGCCTGAGAAAAGTCTGCGGCTTGAATTCTTATCAGGCTACTATCACCACCAGATTCAGCAATATGAGTCCTCGTCTCAGCACGCATGTTGCTCACAAGCAAGGCTTTTGTCAAGTGCTGCCTAAGGGTAGATGCCAGTGGAACAAAAGGTTGGGTCCGAGGCTCAGCTGCTTCCACTGAGGTGACGGTTTGCTAACGTCGCATAATCGTCAAACATCTTCACTTCAGATGCTTTTTCTGCTGATGCGCTTGCTGAAGTCAGTCCTAGGTCTGTCTCTCTCTGAAGGGCATTGGGCCGATGGGGACTGGCATGAAGTCCGAAATGAGGCAGCTTCCCGCCCCCACGCATTCGTGGAGTTCCTGAGCTTCTGCACGAAACTGCTCGCAAGGCCCTGCTTTCACGGCCTCGAGGACTGCCCCCCCGCATTTCTGGCTCGCACGCACGCAACGTGGCAGGAGCATCTTCATAAGCAAATAAACGCCTTCTGTTCGTAGAGAGCTCTCTGAGTCTCTACTGCTCGGAGCCGCGGAGCTGAAGTTTCAGCCATCGCAGCCTGAGGCCCCTCGAGAGTAGCTTCGCCAGCGAGGGAAGGAACTGAACCTGCAAGGGCTCGGCTTCAGGTCCGTAAAGGCCGATGATAGATTGTTTGGGTGTCACTGGCACCTGGCCACTTGGCACACGTGTAGGTGAGTGCCAGCAGTCCCTGCCAGAACATCACTTCAGGTTACTTGCACTCAACGAGCCCAACCCCAGTGCCAATGGAGTTGCCCGCTTCCGTTGTGTCGTCAGTTGTCTTGGCAGCTTCCAGCACAGCTTGGAATCTGTATGAATCTGCCAAGCTCGACGGTTGCCTCTCCTTGCGTTCTGGGTCTTGCTCGTCGCTCTCAAATGGCTAGGTGGCCAATGCATGGGCGACTTCCTCACCGAACTCTCGAATGTTCGGCCTCCTGCCCCTGCCAGATCCAGCTAAAGGACTGGGAGACGATCGACCGTCGGCTGGCTCGTTGGGTTTTTGGAGTGAAGGCTTTGCGTGCCTGGATGTGCCTGGCCAGGCTGCAGACCGACTCTGAGGTGTGCTCGTTGCTGCATGCTCGAGGGGCATCGAACCGTTGGTAGACGAGTCGACGCGCGAGAGCGGCTGACAGAGCACGGCCTGGCGGTCCACATGGTGCACCACCCGAAGCGGCCCGGGAAGTCAGCCGCCTGCATCACAAAGCCGGCTTGCTCAGCTGACCTGGCTGGCTCCAACTTCTAGAATGCGTCCACACTTCCGTCACAGGAGGCTTGTGCTGGGAGACCTCAGCTTGGACGCAGGCTTGAGGGCAAAGCGTCACTCCACAACGTTGATGTTCACCTTCAAGAGCTGCAAGGCATTTTTCACGACGCTTCCCAGGTCCGGCTGCTGCTGAATCTGCTGAAAGATCATGCCGCGCCGGCTTTCTAGCCCGGCTCGGGACAATCCTCCCGCGCAGAGGCGAGCATGAACAACCCTCACTACGTCGAGCAAGATCGTTCGCCCAAAACAAAACACTTAAAACAAAGGGGCCACAGTCCCAGGATCATTCGTCGGGTTGGAATGCATGAATGCTTGGCATGACCGACCTATCATGAGTATTTGAGCATGGTCTGCAGCATGGAGCTGAGGCATAACGTCTCATGTGGCTTTAGTGTTGAAGGGCAGTTGCTTCTGTTCGAAGCTTGACCTGAAGGAGAACCACAACTGTGCTAAGGCCACTGCCCTGCCATGTCCTGCTGTTCATGCGTATTGTGGGTTGCCGCTTGTCGCTTGATGGCGAAAAGAGTTGCCCTTTGCACATGTCTTGCAGTCTCTCTTTCCCTCTCCGTGTGCGGTGCTGCATGTTTGGCCTTGCCGTCACGGACTCGCAGTGCCAGACCCTGGCCTTTTGACCTGTGAGCCTGGCGCATATGGCGCCCCTGTGTGGTCAACCAGGCCGTGTGCACTGCGGCATGACAAACACTGCACTCCCGTCTCTGTTTGGGACCATTGGTCCGATTGTGGGACCAGCCACCAACTTGAACAAGCTGAAATGTTGGTGGCATGTGTTTGTTTCTATGCTGGAGAGCCCGTGCCGGCTGGCAACTTGATCAAAGACTCCGCCCGCAACCCCATCGTGAGCAGTTGTGAGCTGTACGCAAGAAGGCGGATGCCACATGGAGCAATTCCAAAACAGTGTAATGCAACTCAATTGGACGATCTTCGCCGAGGTGCCGTGAAATCTGACAAATTTGAGAGACTCGTGATGCGTTTATTGGTGCCAGGAAGCTAGCGATGGAGCTTGGCAGCCGACAAAGGCGCAGCTTTCTTCCGCACAGCTAGCTTGCTGACACGCATTCAGATCTTTGTCGGTTTCGTTCTTTTATAAATCTCTTTTTCAGGCGTCACACTGATTTGCACAGGTGCCCAAAGATGAGCTTTGGCTTCCTGATGGCACTGTGGTGCCCATGCGTCTGTACCCAAACTCCCAGAACTTGGTACACCAGGTAGCAGCCTCAGCATGGGTATGGTCGCATCTGATTGCGCCGCTGTGCAAACCTGGCAGTTGTGGCAATGTAGCTGCTTGCAGTTCGCAGGGTAGGAATGACGACCTAGTCAGGTCTGCACATTTATTGTTTTGGTAGCACTATAGTTGGCTGCCGGTCATTGGTACCAGAGAGTAGCTAGCAACAGCGCACTTGGCAAATCATCGAAACGATCCGCCTTATGCACTCTGCGTGACATAGTCGTTTGTTCGATATTTCCTCGGTTGAGATGATGGCGAGTTGCTGACGATGGTCGTGGAAATGTCCGGCATCCAGGAACGTGGTGCTTGGGAGCTGTGTGACTTTGGCTACCGCCAGTGATCTTTGCTTGAAACAGAGCCTGAAGCCACCATAGATGCTGGGGCCTTCGGAATGCACTTCCGATGTGTTCTTCCCTTTCTCCTCCGTCGTCGGCTTGTGAAGATGTGGAGTGAGGAAGCGTGGTCGTGGCTGGTCCTTTTCCCGGTGAGATGCGATCAGAAACACACCAGATCTCAAGAGTCTAACACGGTCGGAAAACACTATTTTCAATGCATGGAAGAGGTGTGCTGTTGCATCCGCCGAGGATGAACGGGAAGGAGTTGAGACCATGTTGAAGAAATTAGTAGGCTGCCGACAAACGGCAGGTCACTGTGTGGCGTCAATCCCTGCAAGCATGCTGCAGTATGCTATAGTATGCTGGTGTGCTGGGTCTCTAGTCATTAGCAGCCAAGGCCCAGATGGGGGCACAGGCCCGTGTTGCATGGGCGCTTCATCATGGTGCCGATGTCTTTGGACAGTGTTGCTCTTTCGAATTGTCGGTCGTGATTGTGACAGCGACACTTTTCTCACTTCTCACTTCTCGCAGCCAGCGGCGAGAAGTGAGCCTGCTCCAGACTGCAGACTCGGGTCGGCTTTTGGACAGTGGAGAGGCTCTCCCTGCCTGTCCAGGTGCCTGCTCTCTTCGCCACTCTTTGTGGCGACCGAAGAGCTTCTTCAAGGCGCATGGGGATGCTGTTGCCAGCAATCGCCTCCCGTTCTGACGCTGAGAGGAGGCTTTCCGGTGAGCTGGGAGCCTTCCTGTAGCTGTGCAGCAGCACAGCGAAGATCGGATCTCTGGGAAAAGCAGTTGCTGCGGCTGAACCGCGTTGCCAGGCACGTGGTACAAGTATCATGTGCTGCGATGTGCATGCAGCACGAAGTGTGCGTAACATTCCTTCATTGCCTTTCGATGACATATATATATATATATCCCGCCTCATGTTCTTCCTACTTTCTTTTGTCAGCAACTTCCCTGGTCGACTTGTGTTCAGCAAGGGACATCACGCTCATATCGCCAAGTTGCAAGTTCGGCCCAAGTTGGTGATGCCTTGCTGGACCCTCTGGTGTTGGTGTACCAGGCTCCATTGTGCAATTGCCTGGCCACACGCAGAGGTTGACTTGAGACAGAGTGTGTCGTTCGACACGATAGGTGAGAGACTACATCATGGGCGACCTTGCCGCAAGAAGACTCCAGAATGCAAGAGGGTTTTGACCGTTTTTGGCAATCTCGTTGAACAGTTTCGAGGCGTGCCCAGCCAGGGCCAGATCAGAGCAGCAAAGGCCAGCAGCCATCAACTACACATGGAGCATACTATTTTGGCAAAAAAGGAACCTGTTGCCTAAAGCTACACTTTGCACTTGTGACTGCAGGGCACCGTTTTAGTCTGTGGTTGGTAGTGTAGGCTGAAGCTCGCGCTGCGGCCAACAAGACGGGGAGGCACTTCCGCGTTTCGCACGCTGTGGCTCTTTGCAAGTAGAAAGAGGCCCGAGCGTCAGTTGCAGGCACCGTCAAATACTTACGAAGAAGAAGCCCTGAGCCGAGATGAAGCTCATGCTGCGATGACACTGCACTGTGCGTCGTGACAGGTTGAAGCGAGACAGGACTTCAACGACGTTAGTGCAGACTTTGCAGTGCATGCAGTGCTGCTGCAGGAACCGTGACCGAAATGTCAAGAAGAAGCAGGTCGAAGCGCCAGCATCTTATGCCAGTGCGAGTTCGAAGAAGAGCCATGCGGAGATGAGCATGAGCAGCATTAGGCCTGAGCGAGGCCGAGCTGAGGCTCCGACTGGAGGGCCGGGGGGAGGAGTGGAAGGGGTGGGGGGCCCGCGGCTTGGCAGGCTTCCGGCACTGTCGACGTGAAGATGGCCAGGTCAGAAGCTCCTTCTTTTCTGCGAGCGAGTGCCAATTGCATGGAAGCTGAATTTCTGAAAGCAGGAGTCCGTCAAAGATAAAGATACAGCCAGGATCGCCACTTACGGACGTTTCGGTTGTCACGATGTCTGGTCAATCGGCTCGCTAGTGTTGGCTTAGATGACGAGTTGGTAGGTGCAGGACGCTGCAGTTGCATGCAGTTGAGTATAGTTGAGTTGGGTGGGGAGCTGGGGTGTTCGCCGTGCGATTGGCTTCATGAAAACATGTGGCGCCAACGCTGAGGACAGGGAAGCGGGACTCCGGGCGCAAGAGCTGCAGCAGCCAAGGTGCTAAAGCACCAGGCCTTAGCATTTCTGAGACATTTCGTTCTCTTCCTGACCAGGTGCCGAAGGCTGTGCAGGTGTCAAAGAAAGGTGGGCGAAGACGAAAAGCAACATGGCCGGAAACTCGGCCTTCAGATGTTCGCCTTCAGCTTGGAACCGACCGGTGTTCGCGCTTGAGGCGAAGCCATGGCGTGGGCTAGCACAGAACAGTGTTGGATGGTGCTGGTGTGAATTCTGGGCAGCTCTGGCTGGCCAGTTGTCAGCATCCAAGCCACACCGGATGTTTCACTCGTGTGTGCTGTCGGCAGCGGCAGTGGGCTTGCAAAAGCGTGCAACATAGTGCCCTGTGATGTGGTAGGTGCGCTGTTGCGATGAGCATGATGAGCATGATTCAGATTTGCTACACTGGCGGTGATGCAAGTGTCCTCCAACACTGGCCCCAGGATGCACAGGCCAACAAAGCATGCGGCCTGGTAAACATGGGACAGAGAAAGACTGCAGACCCAGCATGGTCGAGAGGAACTGGGTTCCCGATTGACACTTCAAAAGGGAAGTAGTTTCTGTTTCTGCCGGAGGGCTGTGGGCAGGTTGTGCTGTTGCTTGTGCTGGCCCTTCGAGGGCCATGGCAGCTGCAGATCCGCACCCGCTGCCTTACCTGCTCGCATCTGCTGTGATCACCTCAAGGTCAAACCCGGGTATCCTGGCACGTAGGTGCACAACCGCAACGCCTGAGGTTTCCTCCTTCGTTACCTTGCCAGTGTGGAAGGCAGCAACCATTGGCCAGTCAGCTTCTCGTCGATGGGATCCACTGCCAATCTGCAGCACCAACAGATGAGGTCTGGGTATGCGCTGACAGCAGAATCCTCTCTTGGACGCTTCCTGGAGGTGTTTACGGCGCTGCAAGGGATCATGCAGATAGCTCCCCACATATCAGAATATAATGCCCTTGCAGGCAGCACGGCCACCTTACAGGGGCAGCTTCGTGGTGGTCGCCTGCACGCGTATTCAGAGCTTCCCCGTCTCAGCCTGACATAGGCTGATGTTTGTGATGCCCGAACATCAGACCTGAGATGCCGATGGGTTTGGTTGCCTACAAACTGAACTGGGCTTTGCCACCACCTCTTCCGTTTCAACACCGGATTTGCGAAGGCTCCAGTTGAGTTGACTTGGTAAGGTCTCTGGAAGGACATGGGCCCAAGCGATGATATTCTTTGGCGCAAGCCTTGTCGTGTTAAGATTGCAGCAGGGCATGTGAAGTGAATCAGGCCCCTGTCATTGTCGAGCTCTTACTTTTCTGAGGTTCAGATGAGGGTTCGAGATGGCTCCGCCGATGTGGCTGGAGCAGTCTATGGGCATCATGCGTGCCTCCGTGACTTGGATCGGAAGCCGTTTCGAGCTTGTCCCTCTGTGAAGCTGCCTGATCCCAAGAATCTGAGCTCAGGTTACTGATTTCCGCATTTTCCTCAGTCTTTGGCATGAGCACGAGCAAGACGAGCCACTGCTCGTTCATGAGAGTCGTTCAGTCATGGCGTCGCTGCTGTCGCTAGTCGACCCCCGACCCGAGGCCAACGTCCAGGTGGCCAATCAGCCCTTCGTGCGCTCTTCGATCATGCTGCAAGGAGATCCGCAGGCGGCCACAAGTCGGTGAGCATCTTCTGTCGGCTTCCTTCTTACGGTTCCCATTCAAGAAATTCAAGCTTGTTACTTTACCAATTTGTGCCGCTTGTTTGCCTGGGACATGACAGGTGAGATTCGCGCACAGCAGCCACTCGCCCAATCTAGCAGTGCTTCGCTATCTTTGGAGGCAGGTCTCATTCGTATCTCAAGGCAACTTGAGGCCATACTGAGTAAGCCAGCATCTGTCCGTCCCGAAGGACGAAAGGACTGAGGGCACTATGGCTGGGAACAGGCGTCCAAGTCTTGGCAGCTGTGCCGTTTGCTTGGCGAGCACGCTAGAAGTGTTGACGATGTAAGGTGAGTATTGCTCGGACAGCTCCGAAGTATGTGGCAGCAGTTGGTGCTAAGGCAAGAGCATCTAAATATGTCGGCTAGCATGGGCCCAGCACGAGCGGGCTGCGGAGAGTGGTTCAGTCGGCTGATGCTGCCTGCAGGATGCCATGGAAGAGCTGCTGGCTCAAGATGATGACATGACCATGGCAAGTTGCGCATTAGCCTTAGTCTGTGCTTATGACTTCGGACACTTTGTCTCCACAGGTTTGTCTAAAGAAGTTCCCTAAGTGACAGCCAAGGTGCTGAGGTCCATTAAAAAGTCTGTTGCGGCTTCCATCGTTTGGGCACTCAGCACTCAGCACTTGGCACGTAGTGCTGGCTGCTGTGTGTCTTTAAGGCAGGATCAATCGTGACTAATCCGCTCGATGTGGCGCAGAACGAGATGTACAAGACAGGGGACAGCTGCCTGGCTGTTCTGAGTCACCTGCTGTGTCGTCTTGGAATCTTGGAGCATCTTCGCATGTTGCTGTACCCCAACACCGTAAACCGTAAGCCGAGGTTTAGGGCTTAGGGTTTAGAGTTGCTAGACGTTTAGACCTCAAAAGCTCCACTGCACGTTTTCGTGTTTCTGTGGGCCCACGTGGCCAGGCTTCGTTTCGACGGTGATGGCCTCAGGGACATATTCACAGCATTGCTTCTGATGTAACCTCTGTCGAATGCTGGTTTATCGGATGTATCGCACATATGTTACCGCACGACAGACCGCGGAGTTCGCATCAAGGCTCCGAGTCATCTTGCCATTTTCCCTCCACAAATCACCAGAGCTAGCCGAGTGGGGCTTCAGTCTAGTCTGCTCTGGCAGCAGAGCAGACGAGATGCAACATGCAGAAATTCTTTGATTATGATAGGTTCACATTCACAGACAACTGAAATTGTGGAAGGGGGGTGGGAGGCGGGGTGGTGCCGCACATGCAAGCACAAGCGCGTCCACATAATGCACATGCCCGCACACACACGAGCACACGCGGCCGTGCACACTCGCACATGTGCAAATGTGTACGTGATTGTACGTGTAAGTGCAGGCCTGCATTCGCTCGCACACGCATGTGCAGACGGGCACATGTGTACACTCAAGTCTTCGCTTGGCCAGCGAGTCTTGTAATTGGAGATTTCAAGGAGACAAAACGTTGAAGTAGTTGGTAGTGTCAACGAGAAACAGCTTAGAAACAGCTTATGGACAATGGTGGCCTTCGTGAACACTAGATGATTTGCAAAGGGGCGTGGTTCCTGGTTGCAGAGGAGTGGTGCGGCACAGCTGAGATGGAAGGTGAATAGCCCCCAGAGGCACTCATGCGGAGTCCATAGGTAGGCCGGCAGGTATGCTTCACGGGTAGGACGGGGGGTCTTCGTTTGGAGCTTGCGCTCAAAACCTCTCGTTCTGGGCATCCATTCAACTTTGATTGCATGTCGCTGCATTTCGTCTCGGCGAGGAAGTAATTCTGGAATGCATGAGGCAGATCATGCATGCCTGCAGCTGGGGTCGCTGAGGTGAAGCGTCTCCAATGTGCGGAGGGCTGCCAATCCCTTACTGCAAAGGCTTACCTTGGAGAATGCCAGTTCGGCTTCTCCCATCCCGTCTATCTGCGCGCTTAGGTCGGTGGTTCTTTAGAGGCCCGCTGCTGTTTGGATGCGTCGGTCACCGGATGATTTCTGTCCCGAGGCGTTGACAAAAATGTGCTAGCGAGTGCTATGCCAATTGTGCCCACCTGAGATTGTGCGCACTGAGCTCCAAGAAGAAAGACGAAGTCAACATCCGCTCGCAGCGAGGCTCTCACCATCTTCCTCACCGATGCCTTCACGCAATGGCAGCTTTGATGTGGCTAAAAGTGTACATGTGCGTATAGCAAAAGGTTGCTGGAGTTTGCTGGACATGATTTTGCCGTCAGCCAGACGTAAGCTCTCAGGCGACATGCCGGTGAATCGCTTAGCTAGGAGCTTCAATTCGTCCCCTCTCCGGGGCAGGTCTCGTGCTGTTGCTGAGCAGAAACGCAACCAGGGGAGCTCCAGAGCGAAAGCTTGAGCCCTTAAAATCTTAAAAGCATCCTTCGGTCCTTCGGCAACAGTGTTTTCCGGCCTGGTTCTCGTGACACGTGACACCCTTCCAAAGGAGTGGAGATGCCACGCTTGCATGATTTTCCACCGTCGGCCTTGCTGACGACCTGACGACCGCCGACTTGCTGTCGCGTGTAGCAGGGTTTCGGCTACAAGATGCGTTTCCGCGGCAACACGTAACTTTGTAGTTACATTGATTGTTATGCAACCGTGCAAACCGTATTGCTGAGCTCAGTAGATATGCCGTGTATTGCAGTATATATGCGGAGCGTGTCTATGCTAGCGATTCTTTCCGAACAGCTTGTAATAGTTTGGCGCTGTGTTGCTGGAATCTGCGACGATTCGACGAGGCCGCAAATGTTGTGGCAACGATACCCTCCCTAAGTTTGCGTTGGTTAGAGTATTCTCTGCGAGGCGCGGGAGCTGAGTGTACAGCCGCGCATCCTCGTGAAGAAGAGGCTGACCCGGCCAAGCTGCACAGGTGCTGCCCGGCTGCCCGGCTGCAGAGTACGTTGTTTTTCATTACAAAGAGCCGGTGCAGAACGTCGCAAGACAGAGCCTGTATGTGTTTTGGCTTGATCTAAGGACCTGGGTCCTGTGCATGCTTCAGGCCATGTGCTGTTCGCATTGGCTTGGAGGGAGTGGGAGATGCGAAGTGCGGGAGCTGTGTACAGTGTAAAGTCGAGAGACGAGCTCCTGAGCTTCGCATCCTGCGATGTTAGCATTGAAACCGAAAGTGCATCTGAGAATAGTTTGTGGTCTGGGTTTACAATCGACATGGCTTTCAAAGGGTGGGCCATGCTCGTGGCTCGAACCCTCTCCGAGGCAACAGCAGGCTCACCAGCTCAAAAAGGAAGCGTCAGCTCAAGAGTATCAAGCGGGGCCTCGCGTTCCTCTTTGGTGAAGCGCCCCTTTCGATTTCTGCTGCCGTTTTTCGTTTGGATCTCTTCACGAGAGGATCCTCCAGGCCGAGGATTTCAGCGGCAGAGAGCGGAAGCCGACAATCGATTGTCATGAACTGTCACTTAGACTTGGGTTGTAGGGCATGAGCGAAACTGATGTTTCTTGAAGCTTTCTGGCTGTGGCAAGCTGGGGCAGAATGCAAGCTTAATGGATTGCCAGTCCTTGCCGTGGAGCCCAGCAGATCAACCTTCTCTGTTGTCCGAAGGTCATAGCGGACTGCTGATTGCTGGAATGGACCGAACAGGCCTTGCATGACCTAGCAGATCCACACGCAGCATTCTGCAAAAGCGGGTTTGCTGAATACGAGACACTGTGACAAAATGCACAGAGCATGTCGATGCACATGATGGATGCTATGGTTGTTCCTTGCTACTTGTACTGGCTAGCAGGTGCCATGCAACCGATCAGTCTTGTTGCGCGCAGCGGAACGGCATCTGTAGACAAGATTGGTGAGATGCTGAATGCGGATGGAATTCTAGCTTCCACATTCACAGCAGCTTTGTGATAGATCTCGTTGCTTGCAGTCAGGCTGTGTAGTCTCCGATCTGCTGAAACTCATGCAATGCTCTCGTTCTTTCCGCGTTCTCTTGGCTGAGGAGGGCTGAAGCTGCACCGGCTCCCAGCAGAGGAGCTGCGGGTGCACTGCTCGGCAACGCCAGATGCAAAGCTCTTACTAGTAGTGCCCTGTCAGCCAGCAGACGCCAGCGGTCAGGTGCACCGTTTCGATCATATCGAGAGTCGTCTGCACAGCCGTGGAAGCCAGGCCGCTACCAGCGCTTGAATCCCTGCCGGGTTTAAGGTTTACCTTGCCCCCAACTGCCCTTTGTTATACGCCAAAAACCTTTTGTTAAGTACCAGAAGGGCTTCAGAAAAGGGTACTTGGGGGCGGTCCTTGTAGTGGTTTAGGGTGTAGGGGTTGAGAGTTCAGGTTCCCCTCTGCATTTCCGCTTTTGGCGCAAAGTGAGGTTCCTGTGGATTGTCGAACTTTGCTGGTGCTACAGCTGTGTCAAGCAGCGCATGTGTGTGGGGGTTACTCGTTTCACAGATGCCAGCATTCTCAGGATTGTATTCGCTACTGAAAGCAGCAGCATGATTGCGCTCTCAGTTCCCAGGCTTGTGCAGAATCAGGCAGAAGGCGAGCAAACCTTCTTGCAGGTCCGCTCCGAGTCGAATCAAGTTCGGGGTCATGACTCCCGGGACATAGTGCGTGCAAGCACAAGCCGGAGCGAGGACAGTCTTTGCCGACAGCCGAATCTTGCAACTGCTTTTTCTGCATGTGTCTGACAGGATCGTGTTGCTCGGGACGGAGCCAAAGACGAGGTTGGGGCAGCAGAGAGAGCTACGACTCCCCATTTGCGACTTCTCTGCAAGGTGTCCTTATCCGGACCGCTTTCTGAGACACATAGCCTGGAGGACACAGCACCAGATGCATCGGTGCTGTTCCACGGCTGAGAGCTTCCAATGCAGAATTCCTGGCAGGAATTCGTGCAGCAGGATTTGGACGCTTTCTGGAGGCACATGCGCATTGAGCGCAGCCTCGGTTGAGTTAGCATTCAACGTGGAAACCAGGCAGTTGTTCGTGGTTCGGTGGGACGTCGCAAATGTGACCGGTCTACAGGTGGTGTGCAACCCCGATTGATGGTCTGCATCGGTCTCGCACTGAGCCCCACTAATCTGCTTGATGACTACCTTGTCTGATGTGAGTAAAGGTGCGGTTTGCTGGTAAAGCTCTTTGACTACAGTGGCCTGACCCTGGAGAAGGCAACTGACAAGGCTGGAAGAGAAGGTGATTTTTGGTGCCAGGGCGCTTCTAAGCAAGCAGTTTTGCGTTACGGCTGTTTCGCAAGACTTAGCGTTCATGTATGAGCATGTGCGCCACTCCGTAGACACTAGTGTCATGGCATGCTAAGAAAGCCCAGCGTAATTGCACAATACAATGCCGAGAATGAGGTTTAACCCCCTCCCCAGCGACCTAATTCCGAGCATGGCAGAAAGGTCCACGTACTTTTTCTGGGGACGGGCGGGGTCCGGGCATCAGTGTGTACAGCGAAGTGCCAAATCTCGGTAGTCGCATGTCGCAAGACGATGCAAAGCTCCCCTGGCAGGTTTGCAAGTTGAACAGCGAGCTGCACGCTTTGGGCGTTTGTGCAACAGACCAAGTGGAACCCTACCAGCGTGTTCCCTACGAGGCTGACTGCTCAGGGGCCCAGAGCGGGCAGGGGATCGTGGCGGACCAAACTTGCTGATACTGACACTGCTGCTCTTAGGAGGGGTAGTGCCACAGACACGAGAGCAAGCCTGGATGCCGTAGTCCAAATATCGCATTTCTGCTGTTCAACGGTCTGAGTGCCTGCCGCGACCCAATGATTGTAACCCCTTATGCCTTTTCCTGCAGTCCAACGCGAACCTTGGAAGTCGTAGTACGCGGTTGCATCGGCAGGCCTTTGTTCAAAGCCGTCGGCTACGAGAGGCGGTCCAGAGCTGCCTTGGCTTCAGCTCATGTCAGATGTTTCAAACGCTTCTCTGGCACACAATGCCGGTTGCAGTTTTTCCTTGCAGTTGATTGTACAAGGTACAGGCAGCAAGCTTTCTCGCGAGAAGAGGAGCGGCAGGCCGCAACCCCCTCCCGAGCCAGAAGAGTTCTGCGTAGTTTCCTATCTAAGTCATCTCCAGGGCTGGCGGGCCCACACCGCTGGCTTTGTGGGTCCTCAATGTGATCTCGCTAGAGGGCAAGGCCAGGCGTGACATACAAATGTCGAGACACGTCGCGGTCTTGACAGGGGTTCCTGAGTGGCCGTCCAGATCGACTCAATGATTTGCCGTGATGCGAGGGCATGGCCGAATATTTCTCTCTTCTGCAGATGCGTGTAGCAGACTACGTCATAATGCCGGAAGATCGAGAAATCAACCGAGAAAGATGACAGCAACACCTTTCTGGTTGATTCTTTGACTCTTCCACGTTCCTGCTCCACGCTACAATGCTACTGTATGTATATTGTCTTCCGTGTGGAGGATGCTGACCCATGCACAGCCGGAAGTTGAGCTGTTTTGGGATCTCATTCTTCTTATTTTTCTTTCAGTCTCACTGTCTCAAATCCGCAACCTGTCACAAGGAATGGCACAGAGGCGAACTCTAGCTCCTGAGACTGTACAGAAAGGAGCATACAGCGCTCTCTTCAAACAAAGGTTGAGGCGGTCGCCGCCATGCTTTGGCAAGCCATGCTTGAGCTCGTTTGAACGGCTGTGGGCATCCGCTTGGTGTCTTTGTTTTGCGAACCGAATCCTCTCTTGTAGGCTTCGATGAGGTTCGCCTTGCTGAGCCTTGACTGCAGACTTCCCGTCTTGACTGCAATCAAAGCTTGCCGAAGTCTTGTCCTCAACTGGACAAAGTGTCCCTGGCGCATTGGCACGGAGTGTGTGTGGAAAAAAGCGACATGTCAAGGCAGTGGACTGCCACAGCCCAAGCCGCATTCAATACCCTCGACCCAGGGCAGGGTCTGAACCTCTGGGCCAGAATGCCTTTAATATCTTTAATGCTCAAGTACTGGCTTGTTTCCAGACAGCCTCAACTTGTGTGTTTGCACGTTTGAGGAGGCTCGAAAAGCGTTTTACAACATGCCTGAGCTTCCTTCGCTTCGCTTCACTTCCATCCTGCTAATTCCTTGACTATCCGCATAAGCAGTACATGGTGAAGTCCCGAGCTTTCTTTTTTTGATTTAAAGGTTGGTTTCAAAATATCGTTCTTAATAACGTCGTGAGAGAGGAGAATACGTATGTATGTATGTATGTATGTATGTATGTATGTATGTATGTATGTATGTATGTATGTATGTACGTAAAGATATCATCCTTCTCTTTCCCGGCCCTTGCAGACTGACGTTGTTTGAACACTGACAGGCTTACTCTCTCTGCTGCTGCTGCTACTGCTGGTGCTGCTGCCTGCTTGCTGCTGCTACTGCCACGAAACGACGACTGCTACTGAATACCACCACTACCAGAACATACCAGAACCATTGCAGGTGTCGCTGCCAACACCGCGACCACTATTCTACCACCACAACCGGCGCTTCTTGGGACCATCGCACGGGCTTGAAGACGATGAAGATGACGGGTGCTGTCATGAAGACTACAATGGTGCTTGACGAAGAAGGTTTCGTTGGCCACTATGTCATGATGACTGCTTCGGCATAAGACACTAAGACTGCTTGAGACTCGAGACAATCTGCCTGTTCAGACATGACACGTATGGCTACTGGCATCGTCAGTGCTGCTGGTGTTGTTCTGGGCATCGCTCGCAGTACTAATAGATCTGCTCGTTGTCGCTCCGATTGCGTTGTTGTCATTTCTGGTAACCGATCATCTCTGTGATTGCACAGACTGATGTCAGCAAAGCTTGTTGTGGCATGACCGCTCCGTTTTCCATAATTCCTGTTTCAATGTCGAGAATCGAAAGGCACGTATACGGCTAGGCTGTCAGAACATGCATTTGTTTGAAGGTTGTAGTGGTGAAGGGGGGATTGTGGCAACGGGCTGGGATCGCCGGTGCCCTCGGGTCGAGGACTCCCTCGCTCTCGCCAACGAAGTGTGAAAAGGATCTGAAGGATTTTTGTCTTCTGCGGAATTTAGGGGTAAGGCTGGGCCTTAGGGTTGTCGGGCTTAAAGGGTTGAAGCGGGGTTTAGGGGCTCCGTTTCCTGGCTTTGAGAGATCCCGTTTCGCGGTGAGTGGCCTTTTGCAGCTGCAAGGTTTGAGACTTAGCCTTGGACTTTGCAGCTTGAGGTTCCGATTTCGGGCTGTTTTGAGCCCGGAAACAAGCATCGTCAAGGACAATCCGACCAGGGGGCATGCAGATGCGGTCAGATGCGGGTACAAACACAATACTCCCATCCAGATGGTGATGATCGCGGCCAGAGGGAGTAAACTTCGGAGTAAATGATCAAAGGAACGACCCTTATCCTCAACCCTAAAAAACCTCCGACCGGTGGCTCAACAGGGCCGGTTTAGATGGAGTCGCGTTCCTCTCAATGGAATGGAAGGCACGAAAGCACAGGAATGCATCTGCTAGTAGATGCTGACACATGCTGCTGCCACTCGCCTTGCAGGTGTGGAGGGAGAGAATGGTGGTTGCCGGCCCAGCTTGCTGTGGGACCAATAGTGAGAAGAAGTTTCTTGGAGATTGAGTTGCCAATCGCACAGGCCCACTCTTATCACCGGGTTTAGCTCCCTGCCTTGTAGCTGTCTGTCACCGCATGTGAGCATGAAGCACTTGCGCTAAAACAAGAGTTGTCATGCCGCCACCGCAGTCGATCTTGATTAGGTGATGGGGCGCTGAGGTCGTAGGTCTCTGTCAGCTCAACCTGCTGTCCAGATTTTAGGCATCCATCTCTGCTTCCTCAGCCCGTCTTCGTCGTCATTGCACGCTTCAGCTTGAGGCTGGGATCGCCTGTGGTCCGCGCAATCCGAGAAGCTTGGCTGTGCTTAAAGTTTAAAGGGTTCGAGATTCCCTGTCCGCTAGCTCTCAATCTGTTGAGATCTCGAGAGCCGCAACAACCGCAACAATTACGGTGGCTCCCGAGATGCCTTGTGTTTTGTTCCCCATGCATGATCAGCTGATCGCCCTTTGTTCACAATCTCCCTGCTGTCTCGGCCTTGAGCATTGCTGGCCCCTCCACACTACGGACTTCCTTCTATCTCGCCTTCGATCTCCCCTAAAGTAACTTGTTTCTCTTGTGTGTTTTATGACGTCTCCGCTGCCGTTCTCCGGTGTTCCGTCAACCATCGTCCAGCTGGAGACGAGCTGCGAGACGGGGTTCGGGTGGCCCTACTTCTCTGAGCAACCTGAAACTTTCTTGTTAGGAACGGCTAGGGGTTCTCAGCACTGGCTACCATCCTTACCGGGCCTCCGCCTGCCGGCGCTGCGACAAGTCGGAACACCTCCCAGTGCGTATGGGGACAGGGGCACTCTGGGACACCCTACAGCGAATTCGGAGGAATTTGATGTCAGGATGACACGAGGTTTGCAAATTTCGCGGCCGGCGAAAATGTTTGTCTTGCGTCAGTTAGAATCAGTCAGAACAGACCGGAGCTGAGCTGAGGTGTTCTGAAATGTGTATCATACTGCGTTCTCCTTGACCTTCGGTACCGTTTCTTCCTTCAGCTGTGCTAGTCCTGAAGCTCAAACCGGCAACCGATGCAGTGGCAGGCGGGTTGCAGAAATGCAGCGAATGCTCAAGTCAGCATGCCGTGATGACCTTGCCTGAGAGAAGAGATGAGACCTGTACGAGCGGCACTGTCTTTCCCGACACTTTCTGCGGAGGCCGCTTCTCTGACTGAGCAAGCCGATGCGCTGAACGCAGTCGCCACCAGCTTGTGCCCAGAGGAATCTCACTGCTGGGCTGCATGATTTCGTGAGCCGAGTGTCTGCCCTTGGTGCAGGGTCAGCAGCTTCGGCCAGCAGTTCCAGCAGCACAACCCAAGCCCCAAGCAGCCCAGCCGTGCCAGCAACCGCTGCCGGCAGACGAAGGCGCTGGCAGGCAAGAGCAGCCTGTTGTCCGTGTCGTCACTGTGATACCTGGAGTGCCTGCAGTTATCCTCCAGAACCCAGTCTGCAGACGGCGCAAACGGTACAAGGTGCCCGGCATTGTTTGGAGTAGGGCTCATTCTCCGAGAGCCCTATCATCGCTCCGCAGGGCCAGATGATGCCGTTCAGGAGGCCTTCTGCTCTGACGTTTCGCGTTGCCATAGATTCGATGCAGATGCATGCTGAGCGGCTGCCGAGCAAAACGGTATGCACCGCTTGGAAAAGTTTGCCCTGCAGACCGTGAGTCGTGGATAGCCGCAGGCTGCGTCAACGGTGCACCATGAGGAGATCACTAATGTCTCGAACGAGGCCGGCGCTCGCATGTGTAGTCTTGATCTTGCTATAACCTTCTCACCATGCCATTACGGCATTGGCTGGTAAGTTTTCCGAGTTCCCACACCGAATGCCCAGGTTTTGCGACTGCGCTTGCTGAAGAGCCAGCATGAGGCTTCCTGCACGCAGATGCTGCTCTTCTAGCCAACTTGCTGTTTTTTTCGAGAAGTGTGGACAGCTTCCTTGTCTCTGCTTGCCGGCCTCGCTCTCGCAGCCTTGAAAGGCTAGTGTACCGGAACCCTAGACACTTAGACACGAAAGCTTATGACCTCGACAACAACTCCCTAAATTTCTCCTTCTCAGCATGGAGTGCAGTAGAACAGACAGACTTTGTGGCGGCTCGGTCAATCAGCAGATCAGATCAAGTTGCAAAGTATGCTAATCTAGGCATTCCCATGTCCGCAAAAGCAAAGTCGAAAGCAAAGGCTGCTTGCTCAGTTCGGGAGGGGGTAGATTTGACCCGATTCCTGCTGCCGCTCGCAAGCTCAGGGTAAAGTCAAGCCCGAGGAGGACAAAGGAGTAGCGAAGAATGAGAGAGCCGCAGCCTTGCCCTGTCAGCTGATGTGAATATTCCGTTGATTTTGCTTGCCCGCGTGACCAAGGCTTTGAAAGGTGGCTATCGGACAGTACAGGCAAACACCAGCTTCTTATCAAGCTGTCCAAACGTGCAGAGATTCGGCTGTCAAGCAATGGCCACCAGTGGCCCGTCTAGTGTAGGACGGGGTCTGAGGAAGATGTCTTAAGGCCGCTTTGTGCAGTGTCAGAAGGAGATCCGAGGAATATGTCGTTCCAGTCGGTTCCTGCGCCGTTTCGAGACAGAGTGTGTTCCGGATGCTAAATCATTTCCATGAACACCTGTCTGCTGGGATGCCCTGCCCAGCCGTGATCTGATCTTTGCTTTCCCAAACCTGGAGGGTTTTTCCTAGGGGTTTTTCGTTGACGGCAGCTCTTCTCCTGGTCTTCGCCCGGCTTCCACCTGAGAAACTCTCAGAGCTTGGAGAGTACTACACAGAGTTTCTGTGGAGTCCCTGCCCCCAGATAGTATTTCAGAGGCCACTCGCGAAGCCTGGCGCGCCAACCCCAAAATTATCCCGCAGAGTCTTGGCCGGCCCGCAGAGTTTTCCCGGAGTGGCCACCCGCGACAGGTCCAGCATAATCGGAGTGCCCACCCCGAGGTTCTTTCTTGTATCACAACAACAAGCTCGCCAATCTAACCTTGCAGCACGAAGCTAACTAGGCAACGTGTTGGACGGAATGGTTCAGACGTTTGGCTGGTTCACGAAGTTCAGTTTCCTATCAACCAGTCCACCTGAAATGTCTTGTATGTTCGAAAGTCTGTGGAACGGGCGATAAGAGTTTCTTACGTAAAGGAGCCCGAAAGCTACCTCTACCCTAGGCCTGGAAAATGCAGATGACGAAGCAGACCATGAGAAGCAGGATGCAGTAATTTGAAAACAGCTGGTTCGACATGGCTTCTGGTATGCCTACAGGTCATACGTGAAACAGCAACGTGCCCTGTCAAGCCATGCCCCTTTTGCAGGTCGATACTGTCGGACAATCACGTCCAGGAAAGGCCTTGCGCCCAGGCACACTTCCAGCTGATCGTGACCTGCACATGAATTATGCCTCATGGCTGAGGAAGCGCAGAATGAGAAGGAGGGCCAAGAAGGCGCACTGAGACGTTCTTGCGAGCTTGAGCTATCGAGCTTGTGATGCCAGGCCGGCCGAGCCAGGACATGCGTGATCGGTTCAACGGCACTTGTTTGTCGCCCGCATCTGGATGACCGCGATTTGTTTCGGCAGGACGCGCAGCCTGAGGCTGGACTCGGCAGTTCTCGCAAGCAAGTGAGATGTTGATCGCGGATTGCTGGAGGAACATCAGCTGTTCGCGACGCCCTAGCAACCCAAGTGCGTTGCGAAAGAGTGCCCTACATCCAAGCCCGTATCAAAGCAAACAGAGAGAAGGAAGGAAGCATGGGATGTATTTCGGAAGCACGTCCCTCAAATTGCACAGGTCGAAACTTTAAAGCTCATTTTTACACCCTCGAGCTTGAGACATGTAGTGCTTCAAGAATTGAATATTTAATTTTTGAAGCGGTCGAACTCTCAAGCTGTCTTGCAAACTTTCAATCTTTCGAAGACTGAGAAGTTGAAGCGTTCAAATTTCAACTTCGGAGATTTTCAACTTGTCTAGGTTTCCAACTTTTCAATTTTCCATGTATTCAACCCTGTGCTCCTCAGAAATTTCGAGTTCCAACCTTGCAAATTGTCAAACTGGAGCCTGGAAGGCCTCAGATGGACCCACCCGCGTCCCCACAACTGGATCTTGCTTTCAAGCTCGAAACGGTTCAAGCTGCAAACTTTAGATCGAACACCCATACGTGTCACACCTGTTTCAGCCAAGCAGAGTTTCACGGCGACATGGATCCGTGCGTCGCGTAGAGCGCGAGGGCCAGAGTCACCCTTAACCCCTCAGACTCGTTGGCAGGAAGGAGTTCGCACACAGTCAGTCTGTCGCATTTTAGACGTGGAGAGAATGCAGGTCGACCTCCCTGTCACAGACAAGCTGCCCTTCAACATATTCGTTTTGGCAACCACGCTGGCGGCCTACGAATTTGCTAGAACTTGGCTGTCGCCAGTCTCCGTTCGCTTCAAGGTTTCTGAACGTACTCGTGATTGGACTGGAGCAGGACAGTATCGGTTGTTGCGTTTGTGGCCAGGGCAGGTGTGCACGTAATCCGTCACTGGCAGTGGGATACCACTGCTGCAGACATTTCGATTCAAGCGTTCGCGACAAGAACATGCATGCTTGGAGAACGCGCACTGTTTTCTTGAGCGGTTCAAGCACGGAAAGCGATTCAAGCACCTTCGAGAGCTTTCGCGAAGTTCGTGTTCGGGGACTTGCATTTATGGTATTTAGGGCTTTACGCTCTAGGGTTTGGGGTTTTGGCCTTCAAAGGTTACGCCTTTCGGGGTCTGAGACGTTTAGGCTTTGGGCTCAGCATTGTTGTTTGGGCTGAGGGTCCGTGTGTACGGCACTAGGCCCTTCTGAACCCTTCTGGATTTTAGGGTTTGGCCTGAGGGTTCCGTGCTCGCTTTTTGGGGGTTGAGGGTCTTTGATGGCTCAGAGCTTTTCGAATTTAAGGTCTACGACGTAGGGTTTGGGGTCTCGCTTCATGCCCATTGTGCTCGGTGCCGCCATTATCCGCCATTCAAAGTCGCCCTGCTAAGCTATGCCGTGGAGAATTTTATGTTCCGCTTATGCGAAATTTGCCTGTGCTCGAATCTGCGGCGTCAGTGTGCAAATCCCACGCTCCTCCACACAGCAGCGAAACAACCCGTGTCTGAATCCGTGCCGTGTGTGCAGGGTTCAGTGCACGAATGCGGTTCCAGCCAACAGCACGACGCAGCATGGGCCCTTTTGTGAGGATCTCAACGAGGACGGCTCCGGCATCATCTGGCCTTGCCCAAAGAGACATCGAGATTCGCAGTGGCTGTTCCGAGATATTCCAAGTCACGGGCAGCGCCGCACACAACTTGAGGTTCATCTTCGAATGCCTCTTTGTGATCTTATTCGTGGTCGAGCTTGGCATTAGATGGGGATCCTTGAAGAGGTGCATCGCCGTACAAAGCTTTTGATGCATTTGTGCTGCCCGCGAATCTTGAGTTGCAGCCGTGTCCAGCATCGCTTCTGTGCGCATCCGCCAGTTTGCATCGGCTGATGAACTCAAGTTACTTAAGCGCTCAATCTTGAAAGCCGTCTGCGAAACCCACGAGGCTCAACAGGGCCCCTGCAGACCGCAAAAGTTAGCCCATCCGTCCGTTAAGCAACCCCCCGGGTTCTTTCCGTAACACGGGCTTGTGCAGGCTGGGTTTTGCAAGGAAGGTTTGGGAGAGGACACCCAAGCCATGCAAGCTGCCCCCAAGTGCAGTGGACAACTTTCTTTACTCCACCCAGCTAACTGCAGGCTTCCTGGAGGTGTTTGATGTGTTTTGAATCTTTCGGGACCGGGGCGCAGGCGGTCCACTTTCTTTCAAGATGGCTGGAACATCTGTGACATCCTCGCCGCGGCCTCTGCTTTTGCTGCCTTTAGTGCAGCTGTTGATGGCGTCATCATGTTTGAGCACTATGCACGACATAGAGCTACCGATGCAGCTCGTCCTGGCCGCTGCCGTGGACTGCTTCGTGCTCAGCTTGATCGGAATTGGTGGCCAGGCAGGAATGACATGCTTGGCTTCCTGCCTCGATGAGAGCAGACACATTCGATGTGCTGTGCTGCCTCAGATTCGTTTCTTCACAGTGCTGCGTGCGCCTGAAGCTCAGATTTTCTGCTTTGCTTGTTGTTAAGACTTCAAGCATCTTTCCCAGTAGACGAGTGTGGAAGCTCGGCTGATCTTGTGTCACGCATGTCATGCCTTGTTTGATGTGAAGACTTCAGACATCATTCCTCCAGAACGAATGCGCGCGCGCTCGTGTGTGTGTGTGTATATGTTGAATAGATGCCGGCGCCACAAAAGCAAGGGGCAGTGAGTTATTGCGTCGCCTTAACTCAGAAAGGAGGGGAAGTAGTTGGAAGGAGTCCGTGTGAATCGAATGCCTTTGCTTGACTTTCCCAGCTTGAATTACCCTCATGTCCCCTCCGGCCGACTTGCGCTGGCGACCAGCTCAGTTAAAGGTGATCCACCAAGAAGTCGTGCAAAAGCTCGACTCAGCAGGCAATCGCATCGTACAAGCAGCCAGGATGCGCCTCGTGAGGCATTGGGATCTCCATAGGAGAGCATGCTATGTTGGTACGAAGCGGGGCCTCACTCCAGCATGTGGACCTCATGACGAGACGGTCAGGGAGCATGCGCTCCGGCATCATGGTGATCGACCGCAGAGCACGAGGAAAGAAAACAGCAAACTCGCAATAGGGACCAGCCTGCACGGCCAGCCGGAAACTGACACTGCGTAACAGAAACCAGGCCTGCAGCGCAACGGAAACTAGGGTGGATGACTGTGCCACAGCAAGCAAGACCCTTGAACCAGGTGCGCAGCATAGATTTGGTTAGCGTCTATTGCTTCAGGGCTGCAGGGTTCAGTGTTCTGGATTTAGATTCTAATACTTAAGGTT